ATTCATTAAAGGATGATTTATTGTCTTTTACACAAGTAGGGTACATTAACCATCGACCCTGCAGCTAAATCCTAATGCAAACATCTTCAGTCCTGCTAGAAGTCACATCCCAGATATGAATGTCAGCAATAGGGGTGATCTAGTAAGAAGGAAGCCACAGGAATTCGAAGGGAAGGCACCATGGGAAGCATATAGAGCTTAATTTGAGCTACTGGCAGAAATGAATGGATGGACAGAGGAGCGGAAAGCAGTATATCTGGCAACGAGCTTGAAAGGACAACCACTGGAAATACTTGGACAGTTGTCAGCAGATGACAGGCACAACTATAGAGCACTGGTAGCTGCTCTAGACCTCAGGTATGGCACACAAGGCCTACCCAACTGCGCAACCCGATCTCCTCAAGTTGTTGCTGAGGGATCAGCTTGTAGATGCCTTGGACAGCCCACAACTGAAGATACAAGTAATGCAAGCACACCCCTCTACTATGCAGGATGCAATGGCCAGAGCTCTTGAATTTGAATCCTACATTAAGTCCAGCACAGAGGTACCAAGGTTGGTACAGTCATCGGGATTCAAGGCCAGAAAAGGTCAGCTTTCAGAGAGGTTTGAGGGACTTTGCTGGCACTGTAGCAAACCAGGGCACAAGAAAGCTCAATGCTGGAAACTTCAACACTGGGAAGATACCACGGTAGGAAAGGCTGCTACCCAGGAAGGTTGTTGGAACTGTGGAGAGCAAGGACACATGAGGAGCCAGTGTAAGAAGAATATTATCAATAAGTCAACCTTAAAGAAACCAGTAGTGGTTCGTGTTGATGGACACCTACCAACCCCAGCTGGGAAAGTCCCAACAGCTAGGTGTAAAATGGCAAGTACACATAGTGTCTGTGTGACAAGAAAGCTGGATGGCCAAAAGTGCAACTATGTCATAGATTCTGCATCCCAGCAAACCCTTGTGAGTATCAAGGTGCTGGATCACAAAGGAGTACCAGAAGCCATACAGAAGCTATGTGGTGTGACAGGACATTCTGCAAGGTTGTGGGGACCAGTGTGGGTAACTATCGAGCTCATGGACATGAAGAACAGACACAAGGTATACTTGGTTGACATTGAAGACCAATGCATATTAGGGTTGGACTACTTACTACCGAGGAAGTGTGTAATTAATTTTGGAAAAATGACGTTTGGGAACGACAAAGGCTAAATCCCGGTAAGTGTTAAAAGAGAGGTTGAGCTAACGAGGTGCCATCAGGCTGAAGTCAAAGTGATTGAAAGATTTGATGATGGTGAAGTGGAACCAAATATAGATATCAAAGTATAGCAGGAGAAAGACCAAGATTTGAAGCCAATAATTGATTTTCTACAAGCAAGTGTTTTGCACCTTGCTTAGGAGAAGGTGTCTAGCTTAAGCCCTGTGACAAAGAACAATTGGGCAAAATGGGACCAGTTGAAGCTTGAAGATGGTATTCTTGTCCGGAGATGGGACACTGCAGATGGGAAAGTGACGACCTGGCAAACAGTTATACCAAGAAAGTTACGGGAAGTTGTGCTGCATCAATCCCATGATTGTCTAACAGGAGGACATTGAGTCACTTACGACAGAGATTTTACTGGATAGGTATGAGGCAAG